ATATGCGCTCTCTGTATCATGCAAAACAATACATTCAAGGACGGCAAATAAATGTATTGTAGCATAGGCTGAAGTTCAACTGAAGGAACTCATTGCTTTTCATACATCCACCTGCGACACAACCAATCAGCTTTGAACCACACCTTCCACGAAAGCCAATCAGCATCCAGAGTTAATCTTAAATGGTCTCCGATCTGCCACTTGTCTGCTACTTAGTGTGCAGGCAGTGGTTGCGCTGTGTGACTTCATTCAGAAGACCCTGTTTCAACCCACCTCCAGCCCCTCCTCCACCATCGTAGCTAAAGCTTCATCAGAGTGTCATTCCTCCTGGACTCTTACTGCCTTCCCTGTCTCATTTTAACCGGTCCGTCAGAAGACCGCCATGATGAGCCTGGTTCTAGCAGAGGTTTCTTCCCAACGTGAGTCTTTCCTCTCCACTGTCGCTTCATGCTTGCTCATCATGGACAGGTTCTCTCANGATACAAAGCTCAGATATTATAGGATATTAACAAAAGAGAAAAAAAAAATAAACTCACTCTGTGTGAAGAATCGTTTCAATGTGAATGTGTCTACTTATCAAGGCCGCAGGTTTGATTTCATGGAGCCTAGGTGGAAATTCAACTGAAGAAACTCATTGCTTTTCATACATCCACCTGCGACACAGCAAATCAGCTTTGAACCACACCTCCACGAAAGCCAATCAGCATCCAGAGTTCATCTTAAAAGGCTTCAATCCGCAACTTGTCTGCTCCCATGCGCAAGAGGTGGATGCGCTGTGCGACTTCCTTCAGATGACCCCGTTTCAACCCACCTCCAGCCCCTCCTCAACCATCGTAGCTAAAGCTGCATTTCCTGTCTCATTTTAACCGGTCCGGCAGAAGACCGCCATGTTGAGCCTGGTTCTAGCAGAGGTTTCTAACCAACGGGGAGTTTTTCCTCTCCGCTGTCGCTTCATGCTTCCTCATCATGGACAGGTTCTACAACCTGTGTTATCCAACTGGACTTCCATCGTCCAGGTCCCTGAGTGAAGCTCTAGTATCAGCTCACGCAGTCCGTCTGACTAACCAGCAGTCTACAGACTGACCAACTTCATTCATTTAACAGCCCAATTCTTTACTCCTGTTCATGCCTATCTATCAAAGTTTAGTTTTTCTGCTGAGGTCTGAGCGCCAAAGACAAAGTGATTATATCAATAAATTTCTTCTAATTGTTTTTTTCTCTTCATGAGAGTTTTTCAGATTGAATTGTATTAACATGTGCACTGGAACTATAAGAGGAACTGACACTGTATGGACTTCACCGTACAAGTTGTACATCTGGACTGTAGGTACTCTGTGTCGCCCATTTTAATGTATTTTATCTAGGGCTGAAACAATTAATCATGTCAATCGATTATTGAAATAATCTTCAACGAATTTATAAATTGATTAATTGTTATAGGGACACTAAAATGTGCCTTTAGCCGACAGAGCGACCCACTTAGAGCAGGAATTATACCAAGAATGTATAAAATATATAAACATTTTGCATTTAAGGTAAATAAAAAAAAGTTATTTTCTGTCAGTATTCTCCATCCAGAACTCCTCAAGAGGAAACCTTTCTGTTTCACCTGGTTTAATTTAGTAAAACATGCTTTAAGGACCCTTTAGCTATCTGATTATTAATCGGTTCATCGAGAGAAAAAAAAAAAAATCAATAGATGAATCAATTTGCAAAATAATCATTAGTTGCAGCC